CAATGTGAGGGTGATGGGGGTCCACGCCTGAGGGCTCCCTGTATGTGAGAGGGGGCAGGCTGGGCTGAGGGACACTCCCCACCACACACACACCCAGTGCATGAATTTCGTGCACCGGACCCCTAGTAATGATGATAAGAAAAAAGTCTGTACATGTTCAATACAGACACAGCCATTGTAGATCTAACTGCATGGTATACATCAGCAACAATGTAGTTTTTTTTGTGTGTGTTTTTTACATTTTCAATATATGGTTGCTTGGCTCTGCAGATGTGGAACCAAAGGATAGGGAAGGCTGACTATATGCTTAAATCCATGATTTTATAATAATATTTAAAACTAGAGGCCCGGTGCACAAAAATTTGTGGACTGGGAGGTGGGTCCCTCAGCCTGGCCTGTGCCCTTTTGCAGTGTGGGACCCCTCGGGGGATGACCACCTGCTGGCTTAGGCCCGCTCCCCGGGGGATTGTGCGTAAGCTGGCACCGGTTGAAAGCAGGGATCTGGGGTTTATTTACCTTCTATAATTGCAACTTTGTTGCTTTGAGTGGAGCTGACAGCCAGGCTGTGGCAGGGGTGAAGCTTGGCTTCCTCCATCACTGGAGCAAGCAAGCCTCCTGCTCTCTTCAGCTCCATAGCTGCCGGCCGCCATCTTGGTTGGGTTAATTTGCTTACAGTCGCTCTAATTGGCTGGTGGGCGTGACTTAAGGCATAGCAAAGTTATGGTCAATTTGCATGTTTGTCTTTTATTAGATTATATAACATCAATAATTTATTAACCACCTTTGGAAAGTGCTAGGGAACCCAACTTATTTTGAAAATTGGTAATTGAAACAAGCAGTTGTGCTGCTTTGCTATGTAAACTGTACCTCAGGGTAATCAAATAGTTGATGAGAAAAAATTTCTTTTTATATAAGTATTTCAACTCATAAATGAAGAATGGTAAAAGTAGAGTATCATCACTTTGCAACCTGTGATATTGTGATTTATAAGAAATTTAGCGTTTCTCCCAAAATGTGGACACACTTTGAATAATTATTAAATCTGAAAATAAACATAAAATGAGCAATCAGCTGTTAAGTGTATACATTTTTTTCTGACACCCTATATATATGATACTGGAAGCCGAATGCACAAAATTCGTGCAAGAGTAGGCCTTCCTTCCCCCAGCTGCTGGCACTGGCTTCCCTCCAGCACCTGAGACTTGGGCTTCCCTCGCAAAGGGAGGCCCCGCCCACCCACCACAGATCACTGGTTGGTAGCCTGGGCCTCCCTCTGTGGGTGATCTTGGGGTGATGGCTGGGTCCCCAACCAATTGCATTGCGGCCGCTTTGGCTGTCCTGGCACCAGTGTGTGTCATACCACGGTCCCAGATGGTTGTCCGGATGATTGTCTGGATGGTTGTTCCACTGTTCAGCCATTCGGTTGATTTGCATATTACGCTTTAATTATATAGGATGGTCTTCATCCCTGTTTCTGGCACACATAGTTTGTTTATATGATTTGGCTAATTGTGAATAATGCTGCAATAAATATGGAGATGTGGATATATTTTCAAGATAGCACTTTTATTTTCTTCAGTTAAATACCCAGAAGTTGTATTGCTGGATCATAAGGTAGTTGTAATTTTTTTGAGAAACCTCCATACTGTTTTCCCTAATACAGTGATTCTTTTTTTAAAAAAAAAATATGCCGAACCGGTTTGGCTCAGTGGATGGAGCGTCGGCCTGCGGACTCAAGGGTCCTGGCTTCGATTCCGGTCAAGGGCATGTACCTTGGTTGCAGGCACATCCTCATTGGGGGGCGTGCAGGAGGCAGCTGATCGATGTTTCTCTCTCGTCGATGTTTCTGACTCTCTGTCCCTCTCCCTTCTTCTCTGTGAAAAATCAATGAAATATATTTAAAAAAATATATATATTTTATTGATTTTTTACAGAGAGGAAGGGAGAGGGATACAGAGTTAGAAACATCGAGGAGAAAGAAACATTGATCAGCTGCCTCCTGCACACTCCCCACTGGGGATGTGCCCGCAACCAAGGTACATGCCCTTGACTGGAATCGAACCTGAGACCCTTTAGTCCGCAAGCCGATGCTCTAACCACTGAGCCAAACCGGTTAGGGCTACAGTGATTCTTTTCACTGCAAAGCACAGTGAGTAGAGAAGCCATTGGAAGACTAGGATTTCAGGTGCATCTGAACTGTAAACCAGCTGCCCCTGCCCCAGTACTTTAGGGAAGGGTACTCTCAAATAGATGAGAGAAAAGAGACTGGGTAGGTGAACTGCTTCAGGAACATGCCTGATGTGACTCATTGTCTCTATTACCACCAGTGGAGTACTAGTCTAGTCTCATGACTGGTCTCTCTTGGATTCATATCCTTCCCCATTCATCAGAATAGTCTCAAAACAGTAGTCAGAATCATCTTCTAAAAATATAAATCATATTTTATTCTCCTTAAAACTTTCCAGTGGTTTCCCAGCTCACCTAGAATAAAATCTAAAAACTTTACCATGGCCTCATGTTACCTCTAGTGATGCTGTCACTCCATTGTACCCCGCTAGCTTTCTTGCTGTTCCTCTAACATTCCATGCTCTCTCTGAGCTTAGGTCTTTACATTGTTCTGTTCCCTTTCTCTGGAATTGTCCTTTTTCCAGATAACTGCATGCTCTTCTTTTAATTTTTATTTATTTACTAGAGGCCCGGTGCATGAATTTGTGCATGGGTGGGATCTGGGCAGCCCCCTGATGGGGGGCTGATTGGGCTGAGCTGGCAGGGAGGAGGGGCCGTGGGCAGTTGGTTGGCCAGCACCGCTCCCATTTGCGGGGGGGGCTGATTGGGGGCATGGCCATATGGGGGGAA